AAAAACTGTCAGCAAGAAAAGAGAAAAGTGCACGCGCGAAAAGGGCGCTGAAGCATCACTTCAACAACTTGTTTGTGAAGGTTATACCAACAATAAAAAAATTCTGCAAAAACAACAACAATAAAGAGCGCAAAAGCACATCTAAGATAATGCAATTCCATTTTACAAGTTGTAAAGAACATGACACCACGTTAAAGCTTGAAAAATGGCACATGTTGAGATGAAAACAACTCAATAGTAAGCAAAAAATAAACAAAACTGCATACAAAATTGTATATTTAAACAAACAGCAAAGGAGAAGCATTTAAATGGAAAAGTGAGCGACTCCAAATGGCATGCACGTGTGTAAACAATCTACGTGAAATATCCTTAAAGCTAACAAAGCAACATAGTAGATACACACATACATTTTGTAAATAAGTACTCAGCGGTGCTGATTATACCGCCATAAAGTGCCAATTCTTGTACAAACTAATTTGCAAAACCAAGCGCTTCCGCCCGCTTCAGTGAATCGCATAGTTGCTTAAAGTGGCCAAAAACGAATAGCAGTTGCCAGAGATCAACAAAAATCGAGCATATAATAAAAGCCAATTGAACCAAAAAAAAACAACAAATCACCAATTAGCAGCTTTTTAAGATTTCATTAACCATTATCAAGTATATCCTCCATAGCTGCTTTCTTCCTACAGTCGGCACCTATTTACTACATTCGTCCTTTCAACATGTCCGAGTTTCGTTTCTTCTCATTCACCGATTTCCAATACCGCGCCAATGACTCAACGCTCTTCACCTTGCCCATCACGCTTTCGACAAAGAGCACACCGGCCGACAATGAGATGTCCGATGACTTGAATGTGCCGTACATGGTTTTCGAGATATTAGTTGCCATTTTTGCCGTTGTCGGCAATTTTATGGTAATTGTGGTTTTTCAACGCGAACGCAAACTTCGTCGTCGTACAAATTATTATATAGTTTCTTTGGCGATGGCAGACTTTCTGGTCGGCTCACTGGGTGTGCCATTTGCGGTGCTGGCATCGGTGGGTTTGCCAAGAGATTTATATACCTGCCTCTTTACCGTTTCACTTTTGGTGGTGTTGTGCACAATTTCCATTTTCTGCTTGGTAGCCGTATCGGTGGATCGTTATTGGGCCATACTATATCCGATGGCGTATTCGCGAAATGTGCGCACGCGTACGGCAATTGGTGAGTACGAGTAACTTTTGAAATTTTGACTTTTTCTTGTGGGTAAATACTCTATTTGGAAAACAAAAAAGGAGGAGGTTATCAATTCGTCGGTATATTTTATTTATTTTTTGTTTATGTATGTTATCGCATAACTTTAGACCACTTTAACCGATTTCTATAATTTTTTTAAAGAAAAAGGTTGTACCTCAGAGGTGGGTCCCATACTAATGTGATTTAGATTCGATCATTGGATCATGAAGGAGTTACCGATACTCATAAATTTTTCTATGAGAATTGAATTCGGTTTGGTTTTTTGCTTAATTTTTATTTGTGTTTGTTAATTTTTGCACAATTCTTAGTGTCATTTCACACGCTCCTATTTTGGGTTACCGAATTTATGTTCAATGATGTGGTAAGCTAAATTAATTTTTTAATACAAAAAAAAATAAATTTTCACTGATCGAGCGTTCTTCACCTAATCCTACCACCGGAGTTGGCTGTCAGCTCTGCAAACGATAAGCCATGTAAATTTTCAAGGTCATTTTGTCCATACTTTATAGTTTATATGTTTACAAGAATTTCGATAGGGGTCTTCACACCGAGCTTGGTACTCGGTAACTCGGTGTTCGGTAATTTTTTCTAATATATTTTGATTGTGCAAAATAGTATTATACAAACAAGATACATGGGAAAAAATTTACGAACATGATTTTCAGAGTAACAAGCTTCGGTGTGTCAATTTAAGTCTAAAGCTATTACCAGAGTGCTTGGTTGAGGCAATGGGAATAGTAAACAGAAACTATTAGCAACGTTAAGATATGTCATGAGGGAGTTTCAATTACACTCGTTTTCATTTAAAGTCCTTTTTCTTACTTCTGCGAAGTATAGGTCGATATTGAGTAACTTTTTGCTATCGGAATATGTATCTAAAAACTGTAAAGTAATATTTAATGAAATATCTCTTTAAGGGCCAATTTTCGATCAAAATCTAAACACCATTTAACTTAATTATAAATTCGTATACAAAATCAGGGCTAACTTTCCATATTTAAAAAGCCGACATTGGGCATTTTTGTAAATATGTATTTGATCTGAAAATGATACTTATTCATCAATCGGCACTTAAATTGCACACCTGAAATTGGACCTAAGTGTTTATTCATTTCAAATATACTTGTCCGCAATTTATTACTTTCTGCAGCTCTACATGCTATAAAAATCAATTTTTATGGTTTGAATTATACATAGCAACAAGTCGACTATGTATTTACAAATGCTGTTAATTGCTTTATGTCTGGCATGCCTTCATTTATTTGGAAGTGTACGCGTAAGAGTGCTGCAAAAGTGGAATTAAAATTGATTTTAAGTCATTGGGTAATTTAACATAGCACTGTGTATGAAGTTTCTCATTAAGTGCCGATTACAATAAGCTTTTAAATTTTTTCTCGGTTATTTTTTTATTTAATTTGCATTATTATTGCCACGTTTTTATCATTTCGGAATATTGTTTGTCCAGACATAGAATCCAGAAAAGAATACAGAATAGATGCATATGATAAGCAAATCTAGCCTAGACATTTACCTCGCCGGAAGTAGTTAAGTATTTAATAACCGTATTATTATTACTGCGCCTGAAAATATGCGCTACATGCCATTTTTTAAATGAAATTAATTGCTACTCATATGTAGGTATATATATATATATATATATATATATATATATATATGTTGAAACAGAAAATAAATAAAAAGTTAATTTGATAAAATACAATACATATCAGAATATCGTTGAATTGTTTTAAGATCTATTGCAAAATCTTATACAGACAAGGCTGAAAAGTAGAAAATAAATAAAATAAAATAAACACTTTTTAATATACCACGTTTCTATAAATGGACTAAAAAGTGGAAAATATTATTTCGCAGTCCAAGTTTTTCCTTTTCAATCTCATAAATTGTTTATTATGACTTTTGCTAAAATTTTCAAATCAAAAGTTATCAAACCAATTGCTATGGGACTGCGAAATATTTTCTTCTCCGTGTTAGTCCATTTATAAAAACGTGGTATTTTAAAAAGGTTTTATTTTTTTTCAATTAAAATACAAATACGACAAATAAAATACAGTTCTCTAACCAAAACCATATAAACCCAAATTTTAAACTTTGGAGCTTCATTTCTATCCCATATGTTGTAATAGATTCTCTTTCACGGTGTAGCGGTATGGTGACAGACCTTTGGGAAAGGCGTAAGCTTTAAAAATATGGATGAAGTCCAAAGGCTTGCGTCCACACTTATAACTGGTGCGATAAGAACAACACCATCTAAGGCACTGCATGCCCTACTGAATTTTCTTCCGGTAGACCTATGTTTATGCCAAACAGGCCGCAAGCGGTGCGGAAATTCGAATGAACATTCTAAATAAATGGTCAAATACCAGATACGGTCAAGGTAGGATACTAATGGAGTTTTCTCTATAGCGTTTACGACTCTCCTATCCTCAAGGGAAGAGTGGCAACAATACGCTATAACGAGTAGAGAGTTGGTGGAGGAGTATACTCCCATCACCTGGGAAATTCTCTTAGCTTTCGTCCCCCGGACCATTGCAGGCGACAATATCCATGGTTGACATGAAATGTGCATCTCTTAACGAGATGGCTGAGTCATTTGGCCGAAAGGTGATATGGGTTCGGGACACTGCGACTTAGAGAGGAATGGTACGGCCAATGAACTGTCGCTACTTGGCACAAAACTTCCTACTGAGGATATAAACGACAAAATAAGAGTACCCTTACAAACTTGCAGGCTACTTATCTCCGATAGGCTTACAGGAGGACTTTAGATGCATGGAAACCAGGGATCTTTTAAAATTCCTGCGAAGTTCAAAATGATTTTAGGAGTGATTGGGAGTTGCTGACCCCACATGTGGCATCACAATGGGCCCTGAGCCTAAGTATATCTTATAGACGACCGCGACAACCTACGCTAACATATTGTGGTAGAATCGTTGATTCGATAGTACCCGCCGTACGTTGTGCTCCGCTAATGACGCCATGTCACTGAATTCCCATTGGCCGTGGCTGCTCAACGCAACTGCTTTTCTATGATAGCTAAAATAATACATTTTTATCCTTATCATATATTGCGTGAATAAAGTTTATAACAATGAATGACGACGGCATGGAAGGCAAGGAAGATAGCTGTAAGAATATTTATGATGTAGAGGTCCATGGCCGCAATAATAATAGCACGGCACATGACAACTTATGGAGCTATCAATAGCCTCATCAAGAGCCTCATCAAAGTAA